TCCACCATCAAATCACCTAACCAAACCATCTTTAAGTCTAACCAACCACTTTTAAATTTTAAGATGCTGCTCTAATATCCTTACACAATTTTAAGTTCTTAACCACTATTCTTTCACACCAAATTCATAAATCACCTAATTATTAACTAATTATCCACACAATTATAAGTTATAACTATCATTCTTTCACTAGAAGAAAACAGAAAAGATGAAAATAAGATCAAACTGCATCATCTCAGTTGGGCTATCTGGCCCAGTAATACAGGCCTACACATTCACCAAAGATCAGAATGTCGAACCAAAATTAGTTTATAAACCGGTTGATTTTGTTACTTTTAAACCTACAAATCTCGATTTTCGTTTATAAAACACCGTAATCGGGTTCTCAATTTTAATAAAAAAAGTTAAACCAAGTGAATAAACAATTCGTAATTTGGTTTGCTTTCGGTTTAATAAAACCAAGTTAACCCGAACAACAAAAGTATTGTCTCCAAACTTACATAAAGTGGACAACCAAAGGGAGAAAAGTCCACAAAAACAACGGACTTAAACCCTTTCCCATTGCGATTACATAATCAAACACACTCATATATATTATATAATATAGTACACCAAATAAAACGATGTGTATATTATACATTTGCTTCTAACGAAGATCAGAACATGGAATCAAGATACGACTGGTTGCGTTTCCGGTTAAACTCCAATAAGCTTCCGTACGTACGATCAGCTACTCCGACAAATAATGCCTCCGTGTCCGGACTAAACGAGATTCCGGCTATTTCTCCGAACAGATCGATCTCTTGACACTGAGTGTAACCAGCTTCCGTGTCGAAAACGTGTACAAAATCTGCTGGCTCAGCCATGGCTAAGAACCTCCCATCAGACGTGAACCTCAAGGCTCTGATTGCTCCCATGTTTCCTTTCAACACTTTGAGTGATTGAGACATGTTCCTCACGTCCCATAGCCTGCAGGTTGTGTCTTGGTTCCCCGTGGCTAAGATTTGACCGTTCGGGTGCCACGCGGATGAAAACGAGTAGTCGAGATGGCCTTCGAGTCCGTGGATCACTTTTCCGGATCCTGCATCGGCTAGTAAACACTCGGGACTGTCCCCTAGAATAGCGACTAGCTTCCCGTCTGGACTGGCCGAGATGTTCTACGCGCACGAAAAGTATAATATAAGAAACATTCTGAAGCTAGAAGCAGATGATAACAGCGGATTCTCGAGAGATTGGCGATTCACTTACATTTACGGACCAATCAAAGGCGAAACTGTTGAGGAAGGCGAAGTTTGTAGCATCGAATAGCCTAACGGTACAGTCATTGTTCGCGGTAATAACTCTTAACGCGCTAAGGAAGCAATGATTCGAGTTAGAAGA